CAAGATTGCTTCTGGCAAAAGATCCGTTGGACGTTCTTATACGGAGTGATCCATAAGCCCCTTTGCTGTTTAAAAACCGAACAACGCCTTATATATATTTATTTCTGAAATGTGCAGACTTTCGCGTACTGGCCCGACGTCAGCTTACCTTATTTCCTTACGGAACGGTTTCATGCGTCAGCTTTCAGAATTTAAATTACACAATGAAAAAATGTACTTGTCCTATCCACTTTCCGCAGAAATAAGCTGGATGGACAGACATTTAGAACCTACCTTTAAAGGCAAACCGACGACGCACGACTCGGCCACATCGGGGTCAGATTTTTTGTACCCGACAGAGCTGATTCCACACACGCAGATTCTGTCGTTTAAAATGGTCCAACAGTAGATAGGGCGAATCTGAGTTGGCCAAGTCGCTTGGTTCCAGTTCTGCCTCCTCCAGCTTCCGAATTTCGTACGAAATGAACTAGGAAAGAAAATGAATCTATGTAATCTGCAGGGCTTAAAGTTACAAACTACTCCACTTTTCCTCTTTTTGAGCAGATGCTCCTGTGAACAAGGCTTGCTTTCCTCTGCTTCTAAAGAGGAGCAAGCTCATGCAGAGAGAAGACTGACTCCACGTTATCACGTTTTTTTTCTACAGCGATGCTCACAGAAGATTTACTGTGGCCTGTTTGAATTTGATGCAGACGTTCAGTGGATATGGCCTAGTTCGTAGACATTCTGTCGACTAACAACACAATTCACTGTGACAGGATGGACTGCGTGAAGACCAAGTACAAGCTCTATCTGTGGCCATCGTCTACGTTACAGTGATGCTGTGCCTGGCACCGTGGCGTACGGAAGCGTTTTAGAGTTGGCAGCCGCCAAGAATTCGAGCATGTTGGATATAGTGGTGAACAGCAGCCCGCATAGATCCGCATGTATTTGCCATAACATATTCATAGGACTGATGGTGACGAAGTACAGAAGCTTCGGGGGACTGAAAAGATGCTTTTTCTTTATTAAGAATGATTATCCGTCGTGGTGCAAAGTCCGCGAGGGAATCAGCCCGGCCTATGAAGAGAAATCGCAGCAAACGTGGCCTCCCTCGCAAACAGATTTGGGCATCCTAAAAACGTCCTCATTTCCCTAAAAAAAAATTGTGCTCAAGAAAACTGACGGATTCTGGTCGCGAGAGTCCGACTATTCGCAAATAGTGTTTTTTTCCAGTGTATTAAATGTGTATGGTCGGGCGAGCCGGCGTTTACTCAGAAGAACATCTTTCAGTATGGTTAGGAAAGGGCCAAATAGAGAACGTAGATGACAGGAGGCCTTCTAAATGATTTGGTTCTGTCCAGCTACTCAGGACAGATGACAGGAGGGCTTCTAAATGATTTGGTTCTGTCCAGCTACTCAAAACCACTTTGACGGCGTCTACTGGCTGTTGGCTGCAACAACTGTATGCAAACCGGTCCTATGCGCACAGAGGGATTTCATACAAGCCCCACAGTTGCCATGACCCAAAGCCATCATGCCAACCACCAAGCTGTTTCCACCATCCTTCCCCCGACGTCGACGGTAATCTTGGTTTTCGTTCCCCTCCCTACCCTCAAACCCTAGCCGCCATCTTTTCATCACTTCAAATGAAATGTAAATGTGAGGGGCTGAAGAAGAAGAAGAAGAAGAAGAAGAAAGCAGAAGAATCAGATAAAGAATAAAATGAAGAATAACAAGAAGAGGAAGAAGAAGAATTGCAAGGAAAATAAGAAGAATAAGGAGAACGAGAAGGAAAAGAAGAAGATAAGAAGAACGAGAAGAAAATAGGAAGAAAATAAGGAGCATAAAAAGGAAAGGAATAAGAATAACAAGAATAAGAGGCATAAGAAGATGAATAAGAAGAATAAGAATAAAAGGAAGAAGAAGAAGAAGAAGAAGAAGGAGAAGAAGAAAAAAAGAACAAGGTGAATAAAAAGAATAAGCAGTAGAAAAATAAGAAGGAGCATAAGGAGAATGGGAAGAAGAATAAGAAGAGTTAGAAGAACAAGAAGAATAACGAGAATATCAAGAAATATCTGAAGAAGAATAAGAATAGGACGATGAATTGGAAGAATAAGAAAAAAGGAGGAAGAAGAAGAATAGAAAAAAGAAAAATAAGACGACAAAGAAGAAGAGGAAGAAGAAGATGAAAGAGAAGAAGGAAAAGAAAAATAAAAAGAATGAGAAGAATAACAAGAACCCAGCCCACGACGAAAACATGGCAAGTCTATATCGGAGGAAACGTCTTATCGAATTAAGTGTAGGTAGGACTGTATTACCCTCGTGTCGAACATTCGCCAGTACTTTCCTATGGAACATGTTAAATTAACGGCTCCAGGTGCAGTTCGACCGTCGTCATGAGCGATATCCACCGCATGCAGCATGGTGGACGCTGGGCAGTGACTTGGGCATGTATTAGTTTATAGTGATATTGGGCTTGTGGACAATCTACCACAGTCTCTTCCCTCACCTACCTGAGGCAGATGATAAAAAAGAGTCAAACATCGGAGGCGCGATGGGGCGCAGTGACTAACAAAGCTGGAAAGTCCGTCTGCGCGTGCCACACACACCCTCGGTTCGTGCACGATGGACCAGATTTCCACAAAAACAAAGAGGGGCTCGTATTCCCACTGATTGGGAGTGTCACGGAGGCGACACTAAGTGGGGGGAAGGGTTACTTGAGGAAAGGCTTGTCGCCAACGCACACAAGCATCTTTTTGTTGGTTGCGGTTTTAAAGGCAGTAGTAGATAGGGTCTTGCGAGCATGCCCTGCTGAGCTATCAAAACGACCTGTACCACTACACAATTGAGTACTAAAAATCCAAGAGAATTGAGGCAAACGGGAAACCCCGCGGGCGGGAAGGGGTTAGAAGGATTTTCCTGGAGAAAGGCAGATTCACTGGACACAACACTGGTGGACACCACTTGACCACTGGTCGACGATGAGGGAAATAAGACCAAGAAGTAAAATACTGATCGCATCAACTAAATCGCTCCACAAAACCTCCTATCGAAAATCCGGTTAGGGGATTCATTCACCCCGTTTTGCTTTACGGGCTCAATCGAGAGCCCCACTGGCAGTCGCATAACCACTGGTATTATATGCAGAAATGGTTTGGTGATAAAGACGAGGGAGACAGGAATGGCCATTTCCGACTTATTAGGCCTCATCAGCCAGCCATACCAAACCCCGAGGTGTGCAACACCTGGGGCTCGATCCCGCGGCCTGTTGGTCAAAAGTCCAACGCCCGAACCACTGAGTCACGGTCTCATTGTCCTCTCGGTTGCGATCGGGTCTATACAATGGTAGAGGGACTCTCACCGATCGTTTTCACGAAACTCATTTGTCCCGTTGTGCCTTGGGGCTTTCACTTGAGCCCTGCCAGTAGTCGCATAGCAGCGCATAATACAGGCAGAATGATATTACTGACGAAGACAAGGGAAACCGTCGTCAACTGAAACCCAAAGCCGCGTTCTTTTGGCGTGGAGGGCTAAGGTCTGACACACCGACTGCCTTCTAAAATACCTCAGAGCTCCGTGATTGCACTCTGACATGGTGACCGCGAATCACCATTAGTCGAGCTTGCCTGCCATCAGTGGCTTAGGGTTAGATTTTTGAACCAAAATTATAGAGGAAACAACCTCAATCAAACATTCTGAGCGACTTGGGAATTCACCTTTATTCAAAAGTTCCCAGAAACCCCGTGAAAATGTCTAGTTACATTATTGCAATACATACTACGGCGTCTGCGGGGACCGTCGCGCTTCCAAACCCTGGTCCAATGGTGCTGTCGATTAATATGCGGGTTAGACTTCACCCGAGAACGGACTATTGGTATTGGATGCTCAGATGGGCGAATGTTCCTGGATCCGCGTACCCAAAGTCTGATGGCGCTCAGTCCTTATCAGTACCACGCTGATGTCTGCCATCTATCCGAATTTCGAATCTCCGACTTAGACGCTCAGAAAATAAATATCCTGTGAGTCATCTCTCACTTTACTCTCTACCTCAGCGGCCCACTGACTCTTCTGGTAGATACGGCGTGGTGGTCGCCCTCGCAACAAGCCAAACGTGCCCTATTCGCACGGGAACCAATCAATGGCCGGATAGGTTGTATGCGGCTGAAAGGTCACTTAGCGAACGTCTGTCGTCTCCTTGTATGAGCCAAAATCAGCTGCTGGCCATCGTGACCGCCGATTTCGACGATATCCGCCGTGTGTTCCATAGCAGAGTGGGAGTCGGGACGGTGACTTGCGCGTGAATTGGTTTAAACCAACAAAAAAGATGCTTGTGTGCTTTGGCGACAAGCCTTTCCTCAAGTAACCCTTCCCCCTACTTAGTGTCGCCTCCGTGACACTCCCAATCAGTGGGAATACGAGCCTCTCTTTGTTTTTGTGGAAATCTGGTCCATCGTGCACGAACCGAGGGTGTGTGTGGCACGCGCAGACGGACTTTCCAGCTTTGTTAGTCACTGCGCCCCATCGCGCCTCCGATCTCGTTGACATCTGCCTCAGATAGGTGAGGGAAGAGACTTTGGTAGGTGGTCCACAAGTCCAATATCACTATAAACTAATACATGCCCATGTCACCGCCACAACGTCCACCATGCTGCATGCGGTGGATATCGCCCATGACGACGGTCGAACTGCACCTGGAGCCGTTAATTTAACATGTTCCATAGGAAAGTACTGGCGAATGTTCGACACGAGGGTAATACAGTCCTACCCACACTTAATGCGATAAGACTTTTCCTCCGATATAGGCTTGCCATGTTGTTGTCGTGAGCTGGATTACACAGAGTGCAGAATTACTTGTACTTTGTACGGCTACGATCATGCCTGATCTATCCAGCCACGATGGTATTCCGAACTGTACCTCTCCACGCATGACAATCCACGGCAGCAGACGCAGACAGTTCAACCCATTCTCTTCGCCACGACGAAAAGCGAAGACCGAAGGTCCAAGAACTACGTCCATGTCTTGACCAACTGCGTCGAGCCAGGTCTTGAGTTAACCTCCTCTTCGACGCCTCCAATGGGATAACGGTGCCGGGTCGAGGGCAGTAATGCTGAGCTTCAGAGGTGAACAACGCAGAACGTGCCCAAACCACCTCAGTCGTCTTTCTCGGATGGCCAGAGTTATCCTTGCGATGTTGTCGCAGCGGACGAGGAATGTCTCATTTGAGATGAAGTCGGTGTACTTCACTCGAGGTATGGTTTTCAAGCAGTGGTTGTCCAGTCTTCGCTTGTCATCCATACGCACAGCCAATCCTTCACAGCCATATACAAGGACAGACCGGACGGATACGCGGTACATGCAAATTTTGGTGGCGATGGAGATGTCGCGTCAGACCAATAGGCATTATCTAAGACCCGAGAAAACACGTCGGGCAGCATAAATTAGGGCGACAATGTTGTTCTTACTCTGTTCATTCTGCAGCAGCCTCGCTCCAAGGTATTTAAAATTGTCCACTTCAAGTTGACAGCCATCAATCTCGAGAGGTGCGTTCTTCTGGTCAGGAATGCAGCTTGAAAACACTTTAGTCTTCCCCGCGTTTATTGGATAAACGGACCGATTAAGCAATCTCGTTCACCCATGACACCAAAACTTGAAGCAAATAAGGCAATATCATCGGCATAGCCAAGACCAGTCAATCGGTGTCCGGTTTCAAACTTAGCGCCGTCACCTTTGTGTACGCCCCCTCCCCCCATGAATTCGGTCAATAGCTTAATTGAACAGAATGGCCGACAGGATACAACCCTGTCGAACGCCAGATCGAATACCGAATGGTTGACCAGAACTCGCGAGGTGGTAGAGTGATAACAGGCCTTGATCATGGCGATGATTTTTGGCAGTGCGCCATCTAGTACCATTGTCCGCCACAGGAACTCACGATGGACGGGATCGAACGCAGCAGCAATCAACAAAACAGATGGCCGTTGACTGCTGGCAGCTATGGCGAAATTCGAGAATGCGCCTCAGTGTGAATACTTGTTCCGCATATCCACGTTCAGCACGAAATCCGACTTGGTTGGGCCTTGTCTGAGAGTCACGCACAGCCTGAAATCGCCTGAGAAGGACAGTAGCGAAGGCCCTCGCAGCAACGTCGACGAGGCTTATGCCGCGGTAGTTCTTGCATCCCGTGTTATCTCCCTCCTTGAGGATAGGTACTAGGATGCCTGAGTCCCAGTTATCAGGAAAAACCTCGTCTTAGGAAAATGTGAGGTCTATAGTGTTTTGTCGTATTCAGTATAACCAGCGGCGTTCGTTTAGGGCAACCTATCTATTTGAAAGGTGGACTTCGGCAAAATCTATACCTGCGACAAGGGAACCAAAATACCTGGATCAATGCTGGTCGCTTTCCTAGACAAAAATTCCCGAGGCCCTTACAGCATACTAAATCTCACTACACCTAAAACGGCTTATGGGATGGAATAAGGTCCATCGGAATAACAACCGCGCTCACATACACAACCATGCTTTCCAGCGAAAGAAAAAGTCGCGCTCGGATCAAACTTGCAGTACTAAAAACCAAAGCTCTATCGCAATGAGATGAACTGCAGACACCCAAGTACCCATCACAGTGGAGTCAGAAAGAACGGTGATACACACAAAACAGAAAGGTGGTGAGGCCGTCAAATTCTGTACTACGCTGCTGGGAACAGTTGAGTCACAGAGACTAGGTTGACTGCCATCAAGGGATAGGAGTCAACTATATGCCAGGAAAATGGTGAAAGAAGAACCTCAACAGATAGCTTCCTAACAAACTTGCTTCCGCTTAGAAGTATGCTCCAACAAGCGAAAATTTATGAAGCTGGTTTCTCTGACATGCAAGGGATGCGGCCCAACGAACAATGGTAAGTAAGATTAGTTAGTATGAGCCCCAAGGCACAACGGAACGAGCATGTTCCGTAACCTGATCGGTGAGCGCCCACTATCATAATTAATATTCCCGATCACAACCGACAGGACAACGGGCCCGTGGCTCAATGGTAGAGCGTTCAACTCCATGACCAAAGATCCCGGGTTCGAATCTCAAGTGATCCACACTTGGGGTTGGGTATGACTGGCTGATGACGGCTAATAAGCCAGAAATGGCCATTCCGGTCTCCCTTGTCTTTGTCGGTATTACCTTTCCAAGATTAGTTATGTGATTTAATTGTGCTGTCTTGTTGAGTCTGTAAAAGATGGAACAAAATCAGTGAGTACTAGTAACTAAATTCAGGTTGTTTTGTCGTTTTTTTATGCGATTATCCAATCATCTAATGAGACCAACTGCCTAACTCGTCTGGTATATCCGTTTTAGTGTAAAGCATACTCCATTGTTATCAGGGAAATGACTAGAACGGGCAAAACTAAGGTTACATATCATCGTTTTTCCACGTCAGGAGAGAAGGAGCTACTCACCAGTCCGAAGGACAATAAAAGTGGAGTAGGTTCCGAAGAATGCTGTGAAGAGTACTTGGGCTGCTGTCAAAAGAAGGAGAAACGTTAAGAGTCCAACTCAAGACATTGGCAGCTGTGGACAAATTCCAGAACAAATGATCGAAAGGGAAAGGAGCTTACAACAACTTTTGATTGCAGACCTCCATGAGTTGCCTGTGTGAACCTTTTCAAATACGTGGTGAAAGTGAGCTACAAATAATTCGGTAATAACTATCAGCACGAAGTCGAGATGGTAAAGGCAAAGCCTGCTAAGTTCGTCAGCAGGGAGATCAAGGCCCGCAGTTAACTAGTGTGGCACGTACGTACCGCAAAAAAGCCGGCGCTGGCAAGACAAAGTGACCAACAGGATTTAAGTTCGCGTTTCAGATGGAAAAGGATGCAGCCGCGGAAAATTAGCTCCTCGACACAAGGCTCAACAACAACGGCTCGTAGCCACCGCCAATCCAGAATGTAATAACATTCGCGCAGTCAATCTGAAGGTATCAGAAAAAGCATTTAGCTTCGAGATTTAACGGAAATTAAGTCGAAAGAGATGGACGTCGAGTACTTACCATGCACCTGATAATAAGACCTTGCACGATACTCACTGAAAAGAGGCCCCACAAACAAAGGCTGAATGCCAGTTACTTGAATACATGGACAAAACTAACCAGCGTAACTGCGGACAGGAGAAACAGAGCCGCTTCCAATCGTTCGAACCTTAAATGAACTTCAGAGAGATCTAATAGACTAGAAGACAGCTAAAAAGCGAACTATGATTATTTTTTACAAAAACGGGACAAACCCCTTTCGCGTTGGACCGCTGAACAAAAGTGAGCGTGTCCAGGAGAATGATCAAGCAAGAAAATGAGGCGGGGAAGATCCGGCGCCGGACGTTCTGCAGATCTTGCCTGATAGGTGAACAGTTAAAATAAACATTCATTATGGGTCAAATTTGCAACGGGTTTTTGATGGATAGCTGCTGAAATTTGCTTTCCAAATTACTAAGATGGATCGCTAAAAAAGCGTTAAGCCCATCGTTCACAGGTGATAATGACAATCGTCTTGACCAAACAGCCAGTCTACGAGATTACATTTGCGAAAAAAGTGCTTAAGGAACTCAGGCTCCTATGACTGTTTCTGTAATATGGTCAAAATTACCTCGCTGTTAGTTTTGCTACTGCCTATTCGGTGCTCATAATTTGCAGACCTCTCCTCCAAAAATTAGAAAGTGAACTAAGGACGTTTACCTACAAGAGCATTGTCAAAACGTCTGGAGCTTACTATCGAAAACGCCGACACTAAACAACACAGTTGTGGCGAATTGCATAAGCTTAGAACGATAAAAGTGTGATGGGGAGAAGACAAAACATACCTGTTGACTCCTCCATACAAGTATAGTGTTGATATAAATAAAATACAATATGAGGCGCAACGAAAATATGGGTGGGTAACAGATTCTGTAGAATAACCAAAAGGCAAATTGCTTCACAATGACCTTAGAGCGAACCTTAATTGCTCACCGCAACGAGGGCTAAAATTTTAAGTAAATTCAAGCTATGGTATATGCCCCACCTAAGACGTTCAGTATATGGAACGACCTCGAACAAGCTTGTGACTAGACAGTCACAATTATCAAGGAAGTTGATGAAGATCAGTGAAGATCGCAAGAGGCTGAAACTTTACGAACAGTGGCGGAAACGATTGTGATATTGAAAGAGCGGGGTTAGTACATGCATGAAGCCCAAGCGATTGATTAATAAACGAGATATGCGGACGGGTTTCAGAGTGCTGAATAGTGATTGGTCGAACACTTTCATGCCAGCCGCGACGGCTTCTAGGACTATTCTTGAGTTTAAATTTTGTGAAATTAGTTTT